CTTTCCCTTTTACATGTAATGAACCAGGGATACGTTTCATGACTACAACCAGAAGAAATTGGTGTTGCAAGAGGGGCAGGGAAGGCACTAATGTAAAGCTAGTGGTTCCTACACCGTGGCCTAAAACAGATGTTGCATTTATCTCAGAATAAACCCTCTTGTCTTCGGACAAAGTGCAGTTGTATATACATCCATGCTTGTTATCCCAGGATAAATCATAAGCACATTTCCCAAATAAGAGGAAGTAACAGTTTATCCTGGGATTTTGCAAATAAGGTCTGTACAGTTATTCTAGGATTGCATCATTGAATCAATGGCAGCAAAGCAGCACTGTATTCTGCCACTTGCTCAACCCTGATTAGAAGGGTAATGCATGTCCATGCCAGTCTCAGGATATCTTTGTTCTGGGACAAACATAGGCACAACATATCCAGGTTCAAATGCAATGTCTGTTCATAACCTATATGAGACACATCAGAGAAAGCCCTTAAGTAAGTAGGGAGTTTAGGGTTTGCTGGATGCTACTGCTACCCTGAAGCTGCAGTGGTAGCAATAGTAGAGCAGATTTCCTAGTACATGGAGAGCAGGGGATGATTTCTTCCTCCTGAGATCCCAGCTCCAATTCTCTGTGCTTTTCACCTTACCTGCCTATCACCTAATCATTCCATTCTTACACATGATATTTATGGTAAGACTGGATTCTTGCATAGGTGACAGGGAAAATATTTTCTTGTTCCTAATTCTGATAACTTTGTTATGGGCCAGATTTCAACCCAGCACTGTCAGTAGGCATGCATGAATTACCTGATGTCACTAGAAAGTGGATAAAACCTCATGAAAGAAGAAAAATTGTATACATTAGTTGGGTGTTATTACAATTTGAAGAGCACAGTTAATGAAAAGAAAGCATACTTTTAAAATTCAGAGATGAAAAGTATCTGCAGAATCCTTAAAGGAATTTGCTGTTTAAAGCCAAATGTTAGCCTTTGAAGCAATATAGCTGTTGATCAGTGTATTGTGAGTTAGCCACTTCATTCTGGTGGTGTATACTAAACTGCAGGAGTGAGTTTGAATGTCTTAATGTTGGTATCTCATCGTTGCAAAATACATAAAGAAAAAGGTGAGAGATTGTCTGTGGATCCTACATGAGCGATAGAAGCCTTTATCAGGATTACGTCATTGACTGTGGACCAGTCAATATCATCATCACTTCCATAATAATTTCATAGATTTCATAGACATCAGGGCTGGAAGGGCCCTCGGAAGATCATCGAGTCCAGCCCCCCGCCCAAAGGGCAGGAAGTCAGCTGGGGTCATAGGATCCCAGCAAGATAAGCATCCAGTTTCATCTTGAAAGTGTTCAATGAAGGCGCTTGAACCACCTCCGGTGGCAGGCTGTTCCAGACCTTGGGGGCTCGGACAGTAAAGAAGTTCTTCCTTATGTCCAGCCCGAAACGATCTTGAAGTAGTTTGTGACCATTCGACCTCGTCATCCCTTGGGGCGTTCTGGTGAACAAACGTTCCCCCAGATGCTGGTGGTCACCCCTGATAAACTTGTAGGTGGCCATCAGATCACCCCTGCTTAATAGTTTAACATAATGTTTCGTACATCTGAGAAACTCATTCATTTTTCTAGAAATAGTGCATTTGCTCATTACACATTGATCTAATTTTACTGATAAAGTCATTTTTAGCTTTGCCAACAAATGGCATTATTATTATAGTCATAGTCAGTGCTATTTTTGTACTTTGAAGTGAGCTGTTATTAGTAAATGCATAACTGTAACTCTTGATGGGGAAAAAAGCAAAGATTTAACATGCTTAGGTAACACAACATGCTACACAACAGCGTATGCTTTTTTTCTTTATTCCTTTGTTTCTCTTTTCCCACTCACTTGCTTTCTCCAGCCATTTCTGCTTTGTTAGTCCAGGGCTTTGCATATGTTATTCTTCTGTGTGGGGAAAAACCCTGCAAAAATTACTCTTAGGTATAGTATTCGCTACTGTGTGAGTCAGTTGTTCTCAACCTTTTCAGATACAAGGCACCTGTCCTTAGACTCAAGGCACCCTCAGAAAATGGCAGCTCTTGGTTTTCAGTTGTTTTTTGACTACAGGAAAATAATAGAGCAATCAGTCCTTCTGTTGCAAAGAACTGTAAAAGATCGCAACAGGTCAGAATGTTTTAACACTCTAGATTCCTATTTGAAATCTCTGGGTTTATCTTGCAAATCATGTTTGCATGACTAACAGTGCTAACATAGTGTGATGCCTTGCAGCACCCCTGAAAGGATCCCAAGGCACCCCAGGTTCCACAGCACCCTGGTTGAGAATTGTCGCCGCCGAGAGCCACGGCGCGGGGTTCGGGGCTTTAGGAGCCCTAGTCGGCGGGCGGGTACTTGTGACGCTTGGAGTGGAATCAGGTACTCAAGCGTATTGATTTAACAAATAGATTGCTTTACTTACACTGCTCGTACAGTGCAGGTCAGAAGCTTGCTTCGGTTACAGTTGCAAACAGGTACAGGAGTCGGGCAGAAATTACAAAGTTGTTGGTCGGTCTGCAGATGTGTTCGGGGTGTTCGGGCCGGCAGTCGTCTTACGTCTCGGTGGGGGTGTGCTAGGCCCCCTTTGGTCAGTGATGGGGAGTCCTTAGTGGTTGATCAGGCCGCTAAGTTCTTCTCTAAGACATGCGTGGAGTTTGCTAGGCTCCACAGTGTACTCAGAGCTCTCCACGAGATGTATGTGGAGTCCTCCAACTTGGGCGGAAACTGCTCAAGCCTCTTATACGGCTAGCAAGCCAATCACTAGCTGCCACGTAGGAATAATTTAGAACTGTCCAATAGTGGGGTACAAATTTGCATAAGATTGGCGGGAACTGCTTGCAACGTGCTTTCCTTTCTGCAGCTCAGAAATGCACCCTGCAAAAAGGCTACGAATTGGCGGGAACTCTTTTGCACCCGGGGTTCTCCTCTGCAGCAGAAAACTCCACCATGCAAAAAAGCTACAATTTGGCGGGAACTTTTTCTAGGTCATAAATATATAGTCACTGGGCTCTGGAGTTTTCCCCTCGTGACCTACTTACAAAATGATTGACAGACTGCCTTCTGTATCAAACTATGGAATCTTCCACTGTACTATAGGCATATGAACAATGGGTTCTGACAAGAATCACTGGTGTGAGCAGTTCTCAGCAAGGCCACCTGTGTTAACAAATACTATACCTTGTAGTTAAGTGTTTCCAGACTCAGGCCACTAGATCGTCAACTTTTGATAGAAGGGTCCATCAAGTGGTTAGTAGATTTTGGGTGCTACATAAAGTGGTAAGCTTTTTGGGTTCCGTGTTTGTATAATGCCTTATACAGCAGGGTCCTGACACGTGTCTGGGGCTCCAAGGTACTACAACAATACAAATAATAATATTAATCATTGATCTCTTGCTCTTCCAATTATTGAAGATCAGTACTGTGTTTTTATTCTTTGTTGTAGCTATGTTACAATGCTGTGAATAGGAATTGGTCATAACGTTACTCTCTCGTTCACAAAAAAAGAAGTTTTCCACCCTCCCCTGCCTCTCAGACTTAAATTATTTTAGTTCAAATGGAATAATCTCCTGATTATATGAAAAGCTGTTCCCAGAGCAGAATGATACTAGTGAGAGCTTTGTGGTTTGTATCACATGAACTGGACAGCATGGTTAGGGGTGGGAAGATAACGGAAGGAATACAGAGGATGCAATTGTCAGGGTATTTCTGGAGGGACCATAGTGGGAGAAGTGGAACAGCAAACTGTCTAAAAAGGAACCATTGGCATTAACTAATGTGAAGATAAATCCAATGTGAGATATTAGCTGTTGGCTTCATTTTGGACAGTTAGCTGTTCCACTTCTCCCACTATGATAAAGGAGCTTATTTTACTGTAGCATTAAGACCATGGAATGTGCCTTCAGAAGCTTTAAAGATTGTGCTATAGCGAGATACCCCATGTTAACTTCTAAACCAGAAACAGAATAGCCATACCGTAAATTAACCAATAATCTGGCCATACTGCTTCTGGTTCAAGGGCTATGTTGATATATCCTTGATGCCACACAAGGAGGTACAGTGACATTGTGGATGCAGCACAATTTTATAGAGTTTTATAATGTATCTGTTCTCTCTTGACCTAAGCTAACATGAGAGAAGTAACCAGAATGTAGATCATTTGCATATTAACTCTTCAGTGAAGACAAAACCATTATGAAATAATGAGTATATCCTTTTTGTGGGAGTAGGACTTCAAATCTCAAGATGGGAAGAGAAGACCTTTATCAGCATCAGCCACTGTCTTAAAGTGGTGCAGGTTGTTCTTTATGGGGAATGTGCCCAATTTATCCCTGGGTAAGCTGGGGTAGACTTCCCTCAGAAATAAATTTGGTCCAAGAGTAGAGAGAGAGAGAGTGAGAGAGGGAGAGCAGCCCTCTAGTAGTCTTTGTCCCATTCCAGAGTGCTGGAGTGTGTGTACACATATATAGGGAGAGAAAATCAGAATATAAGAAAAAAACCCAAACAAATAACTATTTCAGAAGACCCTGACAGCAAAGGAAATTTCAGGTGGATCTCACTTTTACGCTGAAAGTTGTGTTTAATTTGCAGTATATATTTTCTTATACATTATTCTTTGTCAATTGTTTAGCAGTCATATATGAAGAAGCCACATGCATGCATTATCTTGATTCCTTTTACTTTTTCTTTCTAAACAGAGCTATTCAATTCCACAAAATACGTCCTCAGTAATAATTTTGTGTTTCTTTCCCTTCACAGAATCTGTACCAAAACAGGTTCCTGGGCCTGGCTGCCATGGCATCTCCATCTAGGAACTCACAAAACCGGCGCCGGTGCAAAGAACCTCTCAGATACAGCTACAACCCTGACCAGTTTCATAACATGGACATCAGAAACAGCTCCCACGAGACGGTAACCATTCCACGGTCCACCAGTGATACAGACCTAGTCACTTCAGATAGCCGTTCCACTCTCATGGTCAGCAGCTCATATTATTCCATAGGACACTCGCAAGACCTAGTAATCTATTGGGATATAAAGGAAGAAGTTGACGCAGGGGACTGGATTGGCATGTATCTCATTGGTAAGTTGACCTGGCTTCAAATTTTTAGTTGAGACCTATTTAGCAAATGTTTGACGTAAGGGGCTGATAAAGCTGGATCTAGCCTAGCTTGCATACACAATACCTTTCTGTCCTAAATTACCCTGAGCTTTTTTTTGCCCAAGTTAGCCTTGAGTAGGAGTTTCAGAATCTTGTCTGCATTGTGGATGCTTCCCCTGAAATTCCAAACTGATTTGGTTTTGGTCATTTGAATTTTGGAGCAAATGTCCCCAGAAGAGGCCTAAAATTGTCTGAATCCACGCTTGCAAATCCATGTGTAGGCCTTTGCCACAGTAAGAAATCACACATGAGAGAGGATTACTAGGATGGATAAAGTTTTGACAAATCGGGACCAACAGCCTTCACAAAACAATGAGCAGAACGCCATTTTTCTATATAGCCAAAGAACACTTAACTATGAGCAATAAGAGAGTTACATTGGATATTTACGTATTTTTTTGCAGTATAATATGACTATATATAAGTGTTTCATTAAAAAAAAACATGTCTGAAATGTCAAGTTTAAAAAAAAAAAAAAGCAGAGGGCCAGAGATGCCTTGAGGGCATTCTGCATGGTGCTGTTCACTCTCTTCTGTTCTATCAAAGAACTTAAGCATGCGCTGCTTTATAAAGTATGTGGGCAGCCCTGTTCACTTCAGTGGGCTTATTAACGTGTTTGAAGTTAAGTATGCTCTTTAGTACTTCACTGGATCAATCCTGGATACTCAGCACTTTTCAGAATCGAGCACTAAGAAACATTCTGAATCCATCTGCCAGCAGCACAGACTATTCTGATAGGACTTTGCTATTGCAGTAAAAGGAGGCAAAATGAGCTCATCTGCAATCAGCAGAATCACGGCCAGCAGAGCTATTTCGCATAGTTGAACCAGCTAATCAACCTAAACTGTATTGTCCAGACATTTGAACCAAGCATCGACTGCTACGAATTGAACTTCAGCGTGTTTTGCTGGTAAAATCAACTGAATACGTGTGGAGCAAACTGCAACAGGAAATTTTACCCCTCCTCAGATTGAATCATCCATACTGTCTTGCTTGACTGAGCTTGGCTCTGTCATGTATGTCTAAGCTTGGGAGGCCCTGAAAAATATTAGGTGTTACAACGTGTGCTGTATATCCCACAATAGTTCTTTCAGTCTGCAAGAAAAGTCAACCCTGAACACCCCTACAACTAGCATTCAGTCTCCACTCTCCCATTCCTGGAAAAAATAGCTGGAAAAGTAGTAATGGCTAAAAAACAAACAAACCCCAAAGCTCCTTCCTAGTAGTGTTTTGATCTTTGAAGAAGAAAAGTGCCAGAAACTCCATGCCGTCCATGCAAGGACTGTGCTGTTGCTATTATTTTTATATGGAAGGCTAAGTTACCGTAGGGAGCGATAACAGTGTAAAACCCTAAAAGAGAAAGACAGATAAGGTTTATGTTGTAAATCAGTAGAAGAAATGTGTTCTCTTATATATTGAATTTGGAGCCTGAAATGGTCCATTACTTGTTTTTTGGTACTGCAACCTGCCAATTATAGAGGCTGTATGTTGCATGCTTATAATTACAAGTTTCTTTCAGTGGAACCTAACAAAAATACACCAGTAAAACTGTTTTGAAATGTGTATAAATAAAGCCAAGGTGATGGATCCATGGTTTCTAATCTATCAGGTTCTTTGTTGGATTTGTATAAAGATTTCTCAAATCTACACTTCTGTTCAAAAACAGAAATGTCCTTGGCCCTTCTGAATATGTCCTTGACAATGTAAACTAATACACGGCTGTGTTTTGAGTTAGCAGCCAGCCAGACTGGAACAAAAGAGCGAGGGAAAGTGTGAGCTTCCTCAGATGACTCAATAGAGAATTAGTTTGAAACCTACTATCACCACTTAAATGACTATGTGGTTAACCATTTCCTTGCTGATGACCATACCAGAAATACTCAGTCAAAGTGTTTTCCAGTGTTGCTATGATTTTGTTATATCATGAGGTTCCTTTCATTTGAATTAGTAGAATTAAAGCTGAAAGTTGTAAACATGGAAATAGATTAATGTTATAGTGAGTCACGAGAACATTGAGATGAATTTTATGCCCTTTAGGAATCGTGTACAGAAGTGTGATATTCTGTTGTTTTGCTCTATAAAATTGGGTCCATCAGTATATATATTATTATGTTGTATCTTGTCCTGTAGTAGCACTTTGACCCCCAGTTATGAACCTCTTATGGTAGATGCTGGACAAACACAGGACAAAAAGTTGTTTCCTGCTGCAAATGGCTTACAGTCATTTCCATGTAATTAAATTGTGGCTATCTCTAAATGGTATTGATTGGGTCCTGGGTTTGGAATGCACAAAAAATAATCTGTATTTTCCCTGTAGCCACCATTTCCTTGGATGTTATCAAGATATCTGATAAGCTGCAAACTCAAAAAACAATTCTTATCCTTGGAAAAACATATCTTAAATAGAAAGCTTCAGGAAGGTTAAGAACAAAAATGACTGCATCACAGTGGACAAGTATTTAGAGATTGAAACTTTGGAGCATTTGAGGAGGAGGCATTCTCAGGTTCACTGCTTAAAGTAGATTAAAACAGAAGAGGGAGAACTCACTTGCTTCTGCTAAGATGTTGGGACATTCTGGGGGAGCCCTGTTTTCTGAAGCACTCTGCCTCCTTACATCAATGTCAAGGGAGGAGGCCTTTGCTTTCTCCTGCCCCCATGGACTTTTAATACCTATTCTTTTTATACAGTGCCCTGAGTCAGGGAACCATTGTTGTGTGAAGCTGATATTAGATCATTTTAGAAATAATATCAAAGTAGACTTCTTCAAGAAGGAGGTCATTTTTGTCCTCAGAATATGGAACAGGCAATTGGGAGAGGTGATATAAAATAATGTAAGAAAACTGTAATCATGTATGTAGTGTAAAACCCACTGAAAAGCATGGTTTCTAGTTCAGGAGTCCCCAGCATTGAACTGATTTCAGAAAAGTATGTGGTAAATGGCCCATAGGAAAGCTCATCTCTTTGAGGGAAAACATGACTGAGAACTATATTAACATACAGACTATGGTTCTCCAGTATACTTTGAGATTGGTAGTGGCTAGGCAACAAGAACAGGAAGAGTCTACTTACAAGCTCTTCCAAAACATCAAACAGCAATAAGAGTTGTGTGCTGTTAGGCTTGACCTTGAAGTGTTATAATTTCCCCTGTGATTTTTTGTGCATTTTCACTGAAAACAGTGTGAGAAATCTAAAAGGCTTACTGGTTAGCTTGATGTATGTATTTTCTCTCTCTCAGGAGAACTCTAACATTGCCAGTATAAACTGTCCTTCAAAAACACATCCGTAATCAAAAGCACATGTAAACACTCGAAAGGAGAAGATAACTACCCTGATTATACCTCTCATGGTGTTTAAAAGTCTCCTATACTTAAGAGCTTTCTTGGAAAAGTGGGCAACAAAATATTTCTATTATAAGCAAAACCAGTACGAACCTCATTTGAATAACTGAGATTAAATATATATATTTTAAACACAAAAATGTATTTAGTGAACATGGTGCAGTAGATGGACTACTGAAAGTAACTTTTCTGAAAATTCCCTCATCCTCCTTCACCTCATTCCCCATTACTATATGCTGTAACACAAAGCATCTTAGATATATTAATATTCACTTCTGGCAGCTGCCTATAGATAAAGAGCTATCTTATAATTACTGCAGTAGCTTTCAGTTGCTACTAGATTTCACTGATGTCATCTTGGTATCTGATGTAGAGTGGCTAATGAGAAGTGGGTAAATGAGACTGAAAGAATCTTTTGGTCTGCTGCCTATTAACATTGGTATTAGGCAATGAATTCATTCAGGGCTGCTGTTATGGTGTACTTACTGATGCACAATAGGCTTTCTCTTTTCAGCAGTTCCTTATGGGAAAGGCAAACATTTTATAAAGCTATTTAATAGAAGTTCTTTATGCCCGCATCCGTTAGGGTTCAATTTCCTGTCCATATTTGTTTTTCCAGTCAATTCTTTTCAAGTTTATATAAAAAGAAAATCTTGACCTAATTAGCATCTGAAATTTAGCTTTAGAAATGCATTTCCCCTCTTCCATTCTCATCTTTGATTTTTTTTTCTCTTCAAAAGGGCATTTAATGCCAGTCAGGTGGCACGTGTTTTTACAGATTATTTACTAAACCCACAGAAGTACGTGGAAAGGCCTGCATTTATTTATCTCCATGGGCTTTGGATCAGGCTGTTTGTACAGTAGTTGCTTCACACATCCAGGATGCATCTACACGAAATGGTTTACTGTGCATTAGACTACTGTGCAGTAAAGCATCACCCTCTACATGTGCGTGGCAAGTTAGTCTAATGTGCCATTTGCTAGTACCAACACATACAGGTACTAGATAAATGGTACATTAACGAATGTGTAGTAGCACCTGTGTAGACGCTGATATTGGGTGCAGACTGTACCCAGTCAGCCACACCAGCAGGCGGCCAGCCTCCTGCTTTGGGCAGAGCCACATGGTTGGCAGTTTCTCCAGCCATGTGGCAGGGACAGCTCATTGACTGTCCCAAGCTGGCCTCTGGATCCCTGGCCTGACCCCTGGGGCGTGTGCCAGCTGCTGCCTGCCCCTGGGCACTATGTGCTCATCTGCAGTCAGCAGAATCATGGCCAGCAGAGCTATTTCGCATAGTTGAACCAGCTAATCAACCTAGACTGCATTGTCCAGACATTTGGACCAAGCATTGACTGCTACGAATTGCCATCAGCGTATTTTGCTGGTAAGATCAGCCAGATGCTGCACGTGAGCCATGGTAGCAGCGGGTAGGCAGGGTCCCCAGTGGAGAGAGATGGGATGGTCATGTCGCCCAGCTGCAGGTCCGGGACACATGGCACGAAGCGGCTGCTCTCCACCAGGGCTGGCCAGAGTTCCAGAAAATCCAGGCATCGTAAGCACTGCCAGCCCAGCCAGTGCAGAT